CTTTCCAAGCCAGACGTCATCTTGACTTCACAAAAGAGGAGTCGGAAGCAGGCTCTGTAAGTTGAAGGATTTATCTGCATGGCTCCTTTAGCTTAGTGTAGACTGCAAACAGTTTACAGCCTTTTTGTTTCAAACCTAGTGAGGCAACTGTGAATGGCATATCACCAAGGGAGGATCTGCTGTTCTTGCTGTAACTATATCTGCTATGAAGTTTCACACGTATTTTTTGTTCTTCCCCACAGTATTATATTACTTCTGTCCACAGGCTTAGTTTGGGTAATATCAACAGTAGTTGCCATTATGAACATTTAACTTTTTTTGTGCAGACTAATAGCTGAATATTCAGATTGAGCCATGTGCAGCAGATTTAGCCATAAAAGTTGATGGCCAAATCTTACAGATTTTTGTGTTCCAGACAGGTGTTAATGGACATCCCGTCTGATAAAGTAATGGCTTAAATACTTACAAATAGAATTGTAATCAGGCTATTGAAATTCAAATATCTACTTGAACTTATAAAGCAATAACCATGCTTTAAAGCAACCACTTACCCTCTGTAGCTGCAGGCACTGTAGATTAATCATCAACGCTTGCAGCAAGTACTTTGTTTAATTTCAGCAGGTTGGGCCCTTCCCCCCAACCCCAAGCATTGACTTGGCAGCCTTCCAGTCATTGTACCTCTAAATTAAAGCTAAGGTTTGCTTTTTGGCACTGAAAATTTTTTTTTCTCCCAGTACTGAAAGTGTTAGCTGCAGTCATTGCTACTTAAAAAAGCTGTATCTTTCGCCCACCCCCCTCTGCCCTCTCCATCATTCATATAACTCATATTGCTACACTCCAAGAGTGCATCACTTGCTGTGAATGGGAGGTGGAGATACTGTCATTCTCAGGAGAGGTGGCTGCAGTTAACACTTACAGCACCAGAAGACATGTTACTAGTAGAGTATCTGGTGGTGACCAAGGGTGGACTGACCATTTGGAAACTCGGGCGCTGCCCGAGGGCCGGGGTCAGTAGGGGGCCCCAAGAGATGCCCTTGGTACCTTTTTCATAGGCTTTTTTGAGTTTGGGAAAGGACACGGGCCCCATGATCCCCTATTGCCCGGGGGCCCCATGAGTTGTCAGTCTTCTCCTGGTGGTGACTGTGAGAAAGCACAGCTGGAAAGATTTTTAGAAGACATAGCAGCCTTTAGGTAATGGGATACAAAGCATTACATATAACTGATGTGTTTGGTGCTGTATCCCCAAAAATATATATAGTGAACTTCAGCTTTAAAGGATAAGTTCAACTTTGTAACCTGTTACATATTCTTCACATTTTTAGGTTGGAACATATAACATGTTCCAGCATCTGCAGCCTCTCTTTCCCTTCCTGCGACAACCAGCAGGGGATCTTCTCCCCACATCTGCTGTCACTATTTGAAAATATTGCGGCCATGTGGGGCTCTGCCCACATGACCGTGTCATTCATTCACAGTTTCCTGTGAAAAAATATATGCAAGTACTATTAGCCGTTGCGGCTGACGGCCTGCAGTTCTCAATGAACTACGAGGACGCTGGTGAGCGCTCTGGTAGTTCATTGATCTTTCTTTTCTCAGGTAACTGGCTGCCCGTATGAGGTACGGACAGACAGCTGTGCTGAGAGTCCGCAGGAGCCTGAGATTGCACCTGTGATCTGTTGGTCACGGGTGCAATGCCCTGCAGGCTCCTTGGAAAACAAATAAATGCAATTTTTTTTACCTGCAAAAATAGTGCACTTATTTATTTCAAAAGGTGAACTTCTCTAAATACAAAGCAGGAGAACAGGAAACCAGGGAGAGCAGAGTACTGAATGAATTCCTCACCAATGCCTGCAGCTACAGAGATTGTTGGTAGCCTGTTTTAAAGCTTATTTAGTACATCTTTGGAATAGCTTGACCACTATTCTATTTGAAGTTCTGACTTTGGTTGGACTTCCAGCTGTTGCATACTTGTGCTAGAGTTTAGCGACATAGAGAGTATTAAATCAGACAATACCAAGCAACTACAATATTTAAATAAAGGCATGTTATGGCTGCATATTTCTTTCAGTAGAGGATGTAAGATAGCTATCCATTATAATTATATTTTCTAATATATCTACACAAAATAAATGTTCACATTGTACCATAGTTCATATTAACTTGAGCAGAACTACTATGGTACTATAGAATGATTACTCTACCATCTTGAAATTTTTTGCAAATGTTATTTTTGTCTGTATGTTAATGTAGCCATCTTTAATATCCCCAAAGGTTGTTGATCTTCTAGTAGCAACAATTAGGCACTCACAGCTAACTACGACACTTTCCTCTCTACTACCCCTGCTTATAGATTTATTGTTAGGGAACAGGCAGCCTGATGCATTCTTTGGAATCTGTTTATATTTTTAAGACGAAGCATACTTTGTGAATACTGTTGTGAAAGCTTTGCTAATAAGCACATCTTCCACAGTGTGCTGTTTCAAAGGTCATGCATAATGGGGTTTACTGTTAAAGTTTGGCACGTTTTCATTAAACTAATTTTGCAAACACAGCAGCAAATCTACTATCTGAAATGATATTCATTATTTTGCCTAATGAATCTTGTTATGGTTTGTCCTTTTTGTATGTTATCGTTTTTGATGCAATGATTAAACAAATTCCAACCCATTTTGGGACAGATGAAAGCATTGTAAATAATAATTTTATATTTAGCGATGGTTTATGTATATGTAGAATTTTGAATACAGTCAATGCTTGCATAACTCAGAAGTTCAACTGATTATTTATGATCATTGCAGTTGTTTGAGTCTAGAGGATGGCAATAGGCCTCCAGTAACAGTAGTTGTACAAGTTAAGTAAAATATATGTGATGTGATGTTTCAGCTGGCTTCAGCAACCCATAAGTACAAGGTGACCATCACAAGCAGATACTCACCGCTAGGTGCTCTGGGGGCATTTTGATTAGACCAGGGGTCTCCAAACTGCGCCCACATGCCAGATATATCCTCCCCTTGCAGAACTGTTCTGTCCACTGGCACTAAAGATAGGACACTGTTCCTCCCACTGACACCAACAATGGGGTACTATTCCTGCCACTGACACCAGAGATGAGGCTACTAATTCACTGACACCAGAGATGGGCCACTATTCAATGATGGGGCACTATTCCTCACACTGACATCAACGATGAGTTATTATTCCTGCCACTGACACCAATTATGAGGCACTATTCCTTCCACCAATTATGTAATTCCTTTGCTCCCACTGAATAACAAGCCTATGGCATTGTGTACTCCCACTGATGCCAGGGCATTTTCTACTCCCAGTGGCCACAGTCCAGCCCCCCTAAAGTTTGAAGGGCTGTAAACTGGCCTTTTTGTTTCAGAAGTTTAGATACCCCAGGATTAAACCAATAGAAAATCTGCCAAAACCACTATTGTGACATGCGTTTCCCACAAATTAGAGGCACTGGCAGGGTCTTCATGTGCTACTTAGCCCCTACTGCCCCAAGTCCACCCCAATCACATAATTTTGCTTGGTCAGAAGAGTCAACAATGCAAGTTTATGGAGTGCTTTGAAGATTTACTGCCCTCAAGACCAACCAGATTATGTGTACAGCTGCAATTTAATGCCCATGCAAAACCATATTCTGATGCATACAGCCAAAAATTGACCATATTTGGGAATAGACCAGCATGACCAAGCATGACAGCTTTCTGTGTCAAGTGGGGAACAATAAAACCAATTATAAAATGACCACATTCACAAGAGCCTTTATGTTACATCACTTGAATCGTGATCTGTGGGAATTGCTCATCTCATTGACTAGAAAGATGGTAAAATCTGGATGTTGTGTCAACACAGACTGGTCTTCTGACACATTCAAAGTTTGTATAGCACTATCTGCAGAAGCGGTTTGAAATTAGCATTTTCATCTCAATTTGTAAATCAGCAATGTGCACAGTTTTGAATATTAGAACTACCTTTTGTTATAGGGCTTAGATGGGACTTTTTTAGAGAGTGGCAGTACTGCAGTTTTGGTGGTGTAAACTGTGTTTTGTCATTCAAGTTAGATAAAATGTGGTCCTTCATTTGTTACGTATTGTAACAAATCTGAAAATGCATGTGATGTGAACGAGCTTTTAGCAGTCCTTGTGCATAACTATTTTTTAGAACCATTCATTTCAAATATGTGTTACTTTTCAGCAAAAAAGTAATATCATTACATGTATGTAATAGCTCCTAACTTTACATAAAGTTAAGAATAGTTTTTTTTCTCTGACTGTTGCTGTCTAACGTTTTGTACTGTTGTTAGTCCTGTTAGTGTGGGGTGTTTGGGAATCAGTTTTGTATAGGAAAATCTGTCCCGAAACACTATATACTTACTGTATATAAAAATAAGTATAATTAATATAAAAGTGTTAGATACAGTATTTGTTCTTGAATTACATAATGGGGTTTGTATTTTCCTTTTAATGATGGACTCTAGTCAAAACCTTTGTTCTTTTTGGAATAGGGTGAGGTGGTGTTAATAATCCTGCCAGTATTCCCATTGGGGTTTATATACTCCCTTCCTGTCCCAGTTTCAGCATTGTTACCACAATAGGATGTATGAAATATTGCCCCCCACGGGAACACAATAGCAGGGGCATCAGAATGTTTTATGAATATAAGGAAAGCTATTTTTTGTTAATGCTACTGTATTTTTCTCCCAATATCCTTATTGTTAAATATGGTGCAAAGTTATTATATTATCATTTTATGGATATTCCAGTTAAATAAAAGTGAAATGTAATGTTCTGTTATTATATGTTTAAATTCATCTCTGGGACCTCTTTAAATGCTTGTTTAGATATATACCATTTCATGCATTATTGATCTTATCTTTTCCTTTGCACGATGGCTCTATTAATCAACACACGCATATGATTATGACTTGCAGAAATTTTTCTTGTAATTGTATTTTCCACTTTCTCTCTCCATGTTTGTTTCTGTGCAAGCATTCCTATCTGGACAGGGAGACCTCCCTTCTGCTCAGAAACATTGCAGGAAAGCCCTCTCACTTGCTGACTAAGGTGATGAAGCTTGCTCTTTCCATCTGCATGATCTCCTTCTCCCCTGCAGCTAAGCTTTACCAACTGTGAAATGGATAAATGGGCACTTGAAGCTGTATAACATTCACAAGCATGTGCTCATTATCTTTTTACATTCACAAAGACAGACATTCTTTATCAGTTTCATACATGCTGACAAAAAACAATCATCTCATCGGTCATTGATGGCAAGAGGTTTATATTTCTGACATTACTTCATAACATGACATGTTGATATAAATTTCTTCTTGTATAATAATAAATACATGGAGCAGGCTATAGTTAATCCGTCAGTATGCTGTGCTTTATACGTTGAGGCAATTTTATAAAACCTGGAGGAGAGAAGAATGTGTGTGTGTTTTCTCACGGTAACTAGTGAGTTTGCGGCTGTCATTTTCTAACCTGTGCTAACAGAATGACAGCTACTAATAGTTGATTGATTACATCAGGGAACACAAATGCATTTTTACCTGTATCTTTTCTGTATGTCTTTTTGTATCAAAATTCTTTTGAGACACTCAGGCAGCTTGCTGTGCACATAGTGCCATAGTGCATCAATAGATACACTAATGCACTAAATTTTGCTCCTTTTCTGTTGTGATAGTAGCCTTTATGATGCTATCACAGTATTATTGCTCCTGTTTGTGTGAGTGCTGGAATAATAGAGGTATGTGCAGTTGTACAAATCTTTTCACATAATTAGTTTGTGTCACCTGGACACATCTAGTGAATAACTTAGACAAAGATATCTAGGTTGTTAGGGGAAAATTAAGAAAATGGTGTATGAAACTCATAAAGTTATTTCCCTTGTGTTTTCCCCATTCCTTTAAACGTGGCTTCTTATGTGATAGTGTTTTATAATAAGAATATGTATTCCACTGCATATTCCAACTCTTTCCAGTGTTTCCCCAGTTGTGTGCATCAATTACGCTACCCTCTAAATAATGGATGGAAATGGCTCTGCGCAGTCTTTTAATTGCATGACTTATGTTCTAACATGTAGTGCTACCTCCTCCCCCTTGTGTTGCTAGTTGTATATTATTCCCCTAAATATTTTTTTGTACTTTTATCTACTTACTGTTATCTACTTTTTATTCTCGAGTGCTTTTTAGGATAACTAATGGAGATTGTGGTAACCAGCGCATTAAAGGGGTTTGATCTGATTTAATGATTTCATATCTTCCTTTTTACCAATACAGAGCACAAAGTTTTACTTGTCAGATGTTGGATAATTTTTACTTGCTTAATAATGATGATAGTGTAAAACGGTGATGTGCTTAGAAGGAACCTTTAGGATAGAACTGTGGAAACTAAAAAAGACAAGCCCCCGAGGCTGTCCTCTTTCTATAGCAAAGTCACTCCTTCAGAATGAGTATGTGAGTCCGGAGTTCTGATTTCAGTGATTATATTCTTGTTCTGGGATAGTAACGTAGTAATTATTAAAGCAAAAATGAGAATATCTACCCATTTAAAGGAGAAGTACAGCCAAAGCTCTTTTGGCTGTACTTCTGTGGATCACAGGAGTACAGTTCGTTTTGCACTTCTGTGACCCATTCTCGATTGACAGCGAGCTGAAACCTGCCGTCGGCTGATGTCACTCAGCTAGTCCAGGCTGGGGAAAGATCCTGACTTTAAAGTCAGGATCCACACCAGAGTCTGGAGCAGCACATGGCTCAGTTTCCCAGCGACTGACAGTCACTGCTCTCTTAGAGCGGCTGTGAGAACTCAGGGATCAATGGTCACGTAACTGCTGAGTTCTCACACTTAGAGCCATCAGAGGACAAATGCAGCATCGGACCGATGCTGCATCCACCTAGGTAAGTATGATTTTTTTAAAAAACGAAATCCCATACTTCTTCTCTTTTAAAGCTGGTTGAGAATAGCAAAGCCCAAAATTATAACCAGGAGGCTTTCCTTGAAATGGGCAGTGATGATAAATTTCTCAAAAATTAAGGATTGTTGAGTGGTGCTGTTTTCTTAAAATACAAATGACTATTATTCCCTTGTTTAATTAGTTACATCATGGCTAGCTCTAAAATGCATGTCCTGTGTAGTTTGTATAATGCTTAGCAAGCAACTAAAACAATATATTTGTAGTTTTTTATTGCTGCTTAAAAAAAAAAAAAAAAAAAAGAGTAAGAAAGTGTACAGATTGCAGCTGTTCACCATGTTTTGAACTACACTTTCCAATGTGTATTTGGCCATTTTGAATAATCAAATGGTGGTAAATAGGGAGGGAATTGGCCTTAGCATATTCTTCCTTTTATAGCTGCTGAGCCACTGACAAGCAAACATCAAGCACCAACCAAGCAAAAATCAAGCACCTAGGCATGCAGAGTGCTTCTAAAAACATTTGTCAAGGAATGGGTCACTCTCAAGAGCTCAGTGAATTCAAGCGTGGTACTGTGATAGGTTGCCACTTGTGCAGTAAGTCCGTTCGTGAAATGTTCTTGCTACTAAATATTCCATGGTCAACTGTTAGTGGTATTATAACAAAGTGAAAACAACTGGGAACAACAGCAACTCAGCAATGAAGAGGAGGGCCACATAAAACGACGGAGCGGGGTCAGCGCCTGCTGAAGCGCACCGTGTGCAGAAATCGCCAACTATCTGCAGGGTCGATAGCTAAAGACCTCCAAACTTCATGTGGCCTTCAGATTAGCACAACAATGCATAGAGAGCTTCATGGAATAGGTTTCCATGGCCAAGCATCTGTATCCAAGCCTTACATCACCAGTGGAGACATGTTCTCTTGAGTGATAAATCATTCTTCTCTGTGTGGCAATCTGATGGACGTGTCTGGGTTTGGTGGTTGCTAGAACAAGGGTACATGCCTGACTGCATTGCGTAAAGTTTGCTGGAGGGGATATTATGCTGTGGGGCTGTTTTTTCTGGGTTGGGATTGGCATCCTTGTTCCAGTGAAGGGAACTCTTAAGGCATCGGCATACCAAGACATTTTGGACAAATTCATGCTCCCAATTTTGTGGGAACAGTTTGGGGATGGCCCCATCCTATTCCAACATGACTGCGCACCAGTGCACAAAGCAAGGTTCATAAAGACATGAATGAGCGAGTCTGGGGTGGAGGAACTTGACTGGCCTGAAAAGAGCCCTGACCTCAACCCGATAGAACACCTTTGGGATGAATTAGAGTAGAGACTGCGAGCCAGGCTTTCTTGTCTGACATCAGTGTCTGACCTCCCAAATGCGCTTCTGGAAGAATGGTCAAACGTTCCCATAGACCAGGGGTCTCCAAACTATGATCCTCTAGGTGTTGAGGAACTGCAAGTCCAATGCGGCCTTGCAAGACTCTGACAGCCACAGGCAAGAGTCGCAGAGGCATGATGGGACTTGTAGTACTTCAACAGCTGGAGGGCCATAGTTTGGAGACCCCTGCCATAGACACACTCCTAAACCTTGTGGACAGCTTTTCCAGAAGAGTTGAAGCTGTTATAGCTGTAAAGGGGTGGGCCAACTCAATATTGAACCCTACAGATTTATACTGGGATGCCATCAAAGTTCTTGTGCGTGTAAAGGCAGGCATCCCAGTACTTTTGGCAATACAGTGAAGGAAATAAGTATTTGATTCCCTGCTGATTTTAAATGTTTGCCCATTCACAAAGAAATGATCAGTCTAAAAATCGAATGGTAGGTGTATTATAACACTGAGAGACAGAATAGCAACAAAAAATTCAAAAGAAATGCACGTCTAACAAATTATGCACTGATTTGCATGTTCATGAGGGAAGTAAGCATTTCATCCCCTTCACAAAACATGACTTAGTACTTGGTGGCAAATCCCTTGTTGGCAATCACAGAGGTCAGATGTTTCCTGTAGTTGACCACCAGGGTTGCACACATCTCAGGAGGGATTTTGACCTCTCCTCTTGTCAGATCCTCTCCAAGTCATTAAGGTTTGGTGGCTGATGTTTGGAAACTCAAACTTTCAGCTCCTCCACAGATTTTCAGTCGAATTAAGGTCTGGAGACTAGCTAGGCCACTCCAGAACCTTACTGTGCTTCTTCTTGAGCCACTCCTTTGTTGCCTTGGCCATTTTCTTTTGGGTCATCCCATCCATGACCAATTTTCAATGCCCTGGCTGAGGGAAGAAGGTTCTCACCCAAGATTTGACGGTACATTGCCCCGTCCATCGTTCCCTTTGATGCGGTGCAGTTGTCCTGTCCCCTTAGCAGAAAAACACCCCCAAAGCAGAATGTTTCCACCACCATGTTTGACAGTTGGGATGGTGTTCTTGGGGTCATAGGCAGCATTCCTCATCCTCCAAGCACAGCAAGTTGAGTCGATGCCAAAGAGCTCGATTCTGTCTCTCAGTGTTACAATACACCTACCATTCGATTTTTAGACTGATCATTTTGTTGTGAGTCGGCAAACATTCAAAATCAGAAGGGGATCAAATACTTATTTCCTTCACTGTATAGTGTGAGTATATATATGTATGTGTGTGTGCGTGCACACACACACACACACCAGCATAAATGAGTACTCCCCAACGGTTTTATTTGAAAACCTTTACTTTCCTTTCAGATTAAACATTTTCTATGGGACATTATGCTACAAAATACTCTCACATATGCGGGTCATTGATTGCAAACAAGATTTGTTAATTTCCACATACAAAAAAGTATTTTTCCTTACAAATTCATTCAAGACCATGTTGCAAAAATGAATACACCCAAATGAAAGTCTTAGGAGAAAAGCTAAATTTTAGACTATAAAATCCTAATGAGTAGGGATTCAACTACAGGGGAGTCTAATTATTCATTAAACAGGTGTCCAGCTGACAGTTGATTATAAAAGGGGGGTACAAAGAAAACCCCTTCCCATTTCATGCTTTCAGCAATGGCACCACATGGAAGAGAAATGTCACAAGGCCTGAGAAAGAGAAAATAATTTCTTTACACAAGAAAGGTGAAGGCTACAAGATCAGCAAAGCTTTATTTATCGGTCAGAATACTGTAGCA